TTGAACGTTGTGATATACCCTAAGCCGTTCGATTTGACTATGTTTGAAGTGATTGTCATCTCCTTGTACTAAAGAAAAATGATGCAGTGATATCATGTCAGAGATGCGGGTAAAGTTTTCTACTAGTTGCCAACCTAACATTGTAAGAAAATACATCAAGGATAAGACTCGATAAGATAACTCCTAACATGTTATGATAAGATAATATTTGTTCTTTGTAGTTGTAACAAATCTCTTTGGTGGGGGGTGGGGGCAGCGGGGGGTTGAATATATTTAATTGATGAATTTGGTGAGACCGACAAGGAATTGGCATATTGGTATCATGGGATGAGTCATCAGAGGAAGGCTGGTCAGTATCTATCTGAGAATAGGTATTTGGTGGCGAGTGGTGAGCTATTTGAAGATATAGGGTTGGTGAGAAATGAAGGTAGCTCGCGATTAATTAAGGAGTAGTCGGGGATGATAAACTTTTGAACTTTGTGATATACCCTAAGCTGTTTGATTTCACATCAAATGGCTTTAAGTGGTTGTTGTCTCCTTGTACCAAAGAAAAATGATGCAGTGATATCATGACAGAGATGCTAGTAAAGGTTTCTACTAGTTGCCAACCTAACATTGTAAAAAAATACATCCAAGATAAGACTCGATAAGATAACTCCTAACGTCTTATGCAGATAACTCCGAACAGGTTATGATAAGATAAGTTTGTTCTTTGCAGTTGTAACAAATCTTTTTGGTGTAGCTGTATCAAATCCCTCTTTTGCAGGCAATACTGCATACGTACACATCCCAACACTTGTATAAGTATATGAGATTTCCTCCCTAAAGATGTAAATTGAAATATATTTTTCATTATTTATCAAACATAACCCTCACCCTTTTCATCTAGGCTTGGGACCAACAATGGTAGAGTTAAATGATCTATCCCAAAAAAACAAAAAAAAAATGTGCATGGAGGGAGTCAATATCGAGTCACATGGTATATTTCCCATTCTAATGAAGAATCTCAATATAACTAGCGGAGAACAACTTTGCATGAGACAAAATTGGCACATACATGGGCCAAGATCTCTAGGCATCAAACCTTTGTAACTTTATGAGAAAATAAAGGTTGATCGCTTCATAGAAGAGAGTATGAGGTACTAGAAGTACAATATACTACTCAACGACTCCCATCTTACCAAATTTCCAAACTCCAAAGTGCATAGAATTGAAAAACAAGGTCCCCACATGATCAAAATCCCCCTCCATATCAATAGACCTACTTTCCTGTTGGGTACCTTGAGCAGACTAAGTATTCTCAGAGACAACAAGTTGAAACCATAAAGCAAGTATTCGGTAATTATCTTAAAGAAAATAGTTTATATACGAGTAAGGTGCACCTAAAAAACCCACTAAAAAAGTTTGTTTCTATGCTGGAAAACCCTCAAATCAATCATCTCTACCTCAAGATTCCTAGACATGAAAAAAAGGGGATTTTTAGTACTAAAAATACCTCATCTTCTGACATTAACTAGACCGTCCATTTTCAGGATTTTCAAGTGTTATAGATCTGTTTGATCGACATCATTTTTTGGAATTTTAAATTTCACGATTAGGGGCAACAATAATTTTTCATATCATCGCAAGGCTTTGCGGCACCGAAACTGCATTTTCGGCATAGTTTTGAGGTACACCTTACTTCACTAGTATAAGGTTGGCACCTTATACAAACCTTACTCTCATTTGAAAGGATACTTTTGCAAACATTGTACAGTTAATAACATGACTTCTTTTCTAAAAATAAATGATACCATAAAACTTAATAGGAATGAAACTTAAGACCTCATGGTGTTACACCCTGCCACCTTAAGACTACATATGCCCTGGGCCCAATCTCAACAACATGATTCAATAATAGAAGTTAGGATCCAACCAGCTTATAACACATTCAATAGGCCATCTGGGACTTTAGGTATAAATTTTTCTCATTTTACCCATGTTTGATCCTATTTTTGTTGAACAATCGCAACATGTCATGATCTCCTTATTTTTACATGTTTAGTTTTGTTATATATATATATATATATATATATA